ATTAATTTAAATGCTGAAATATAATTGGCTACCCCTTAGAATTGGTCCAAAGTCCAATAGATTTATTGGACTGGACTTATTGGACTGGACTGCTTGGACTGGTCCAATAAGTTCAGTCCTATAAGTCCAATTGCCAATACTGTATGATGATGATTGAGAAGGAATTGGTGAATTGGGTGAATTAGAATTTAACGTCATGAATTTTATTTTTTTTTAAATTTACTCCATAATTTAAAATCTACAAAAATAATTGGTTTATTTCATTGTTTTGTCACTTTTGTCACATTTATAATGAATTAGAAGCTGATAATATTCCTTCTCTTTCACAATTAAATTGTGGATATCTAGTCAACAACACAAAAAGCAATCAGCCGAAATGTGAGTTCTAATTGATATTATTATTTTTTCCTTATATCTTGTTATCTATTCCATATAATAATAACATGTTTTTAATTTTTTAACTAGAATAGCTCCCAAAACAATCATGTTCTAACAATACTTACTCATGAGAAGCTCCCAAACTATTTCCTTTTCTTCTTAATTTTACATTCTAAAAGAACAATTATAAAAAAAAAAATTATTAATATTTACAATGGTTTTTCATAATAATAGTTGCCAAAATTATATCTAAATTATTTGAATACTTAACTAAATAGCTGAAATTCTGGGTAGTTTTTTATGTCTATTGTTATAAATGGTTAAAGTCTTAACAGCATTCATTCTATGAAATGGATAAAAATGTCTATCAAGAATGTAAAATCAACAGATGCTTCATGAAAATGAACCATTATCCTCTTAAGCTGGTCCAGATAAGAACAGAATGCTTATAATTTTCATGTTTTTTAAAAAAGAAATGATCATGGTTATAAATGCAGTCCAAATTGGTTTGGTGATTTCGATAGTGTGTAATCCCCTTTATGACATTGTCAAAAATACTTTGGGCTGCATGTATAATCATGGTTAAAGGAACCCTTGAAAAATTTTCCAAGTCTTTTTAAGTCACTTAAAACATGACCATTGTGGTCCAAATTTGTTGGAAAAGGACCATCACTTATTTCAGAGAATAGAAAATCAAAATGATGCTCATTGTGAAATTGAAAAATGAAAAGAAATCAGGAAACTTTGTTGGTCCACCAACATTGTTTCTAAAGTCTGTTGACTGGCAAGTACACCCATCCCTAAAGTGAATTTGTGTTAATTGATGCAAACAGAAAGAAATTTATAAATTCTTTTAAAAAATTTTTTTTGGATGAAATTCATACCTTTCTTCAATATTTTTCACAACATACAGTATAAAATCCACCAAAGCATTTGTCACACTATGAGAGTAAGTTTTCATTGACTTTGTAATCTTTGTTTTGATATGACTTTTTATACCAAATTTTTTGCAAAATAATTAATTAGTGTGAAGTTAATATAGTAATTTTTATGGAAAAGATTAAACCATACTCACAAATTTCTCAATAATGATACCAAGTGCATAGTAGAAATCCTTATTAGAGATGGAATGGAAATGTCCTTATCCAACATGAAAGATTGAATAAAATTCTTTTCATTTATTCCAAGCATTATATTGGGAAATTTTTTCAACTTTAAATCCTCAATTAACCCAGGATTATGCAATTTGTCATACACAATTTTATGGTCCTTTTTTTGATAAAATGTTTCTATTTAAAAATAAGTTGTTACCATAAGTTTCAAGTTGATATTATTTTCAGGAATATTTTGCATAATAAATATTAACATGAACTCAAGATTTCAAATTTTTACTTCTGAAGCTTTCTTTTTAAATTCATCAGGATTGAATGTGTATTTGTCATAATAACCTGACCCTCTTTTGATAAACACTTACACTGCCTGGAAGAAAGTATCTGAACCTTGCTTTTTATTAATTCCGCAAACTTTTACATAATAATTTTTTTTGAAAATATCATCATGTAGCTTATGTTCTAACAAATGTGTATGCAATATTTCACAATTCTGGTATTTATACTAATTTTTTAACCAAAAAAAAACAAACTTCAATTAAGGGTAGAGGATCTACATATATAGTACATATGAAAATTGTCCATTAAAAATTCTCGTGATATATTTAAATAAAACGCAACTTATCTTTTATTATTTGTTTATGAAATTATATAGAATATATCACTGAGAACTATAATTTTAACTGTATGTAAAAAAATTAAAAAGTTAGTATTAAAAATAAAGACTTGTATTATCAACCAAGTTAAAATACTTAGCGAATGTCTAATTAAGTTAGCGAATGTATAAGTTAAACATGCGGAATGACTGTTAAAGTTGCAAAAGTTTATTTTAAACCACATAACTTCCATAAACACATAAATATCTGTGTTAAATGCATAATATTTATTACTTAAAGTCACAAGTGCCTAATGTTAACTTATTAATATTTATACTACATATCTGAAATGAGATTTAATTCCCTAGTTTTTATTTTATACATATGTTTTAGTAATAATTAATATAATAATAAGCAAATAAATATATAATATTTTGTTAATATTTTTATTTATTTATTTTAGGATTCCACAGTGGATACAATACATGCAAACTAATAATTCTTCTTTAGAAAAATTTATCACTGATTAGTGAGTTATTTTTATTATGCTATGAATATTGAAATACCATTATTTCACCTTTATCACTGTTCTCATGTGATATGACATAATTTCAAACATTTCAACTTCATGTATAGTATGATGTGTAAAACGATTAATAATCAAATATAAGATCGTAGTCTTCAACTCATATTTATCTGCCAACTCTATAATTGAAGCTTGATTTTGGATATATTGGATCAAGCCGTCCTCAGTTAAAGGTTGCCCAAACTCATCTATACATGAAGTCGAAACTATTTCGACCATTTGCAGATCTGGTCAAAATAGGGTCGAAACTGATTTTTACTATGTAGTTTCCTCAAGTCAAAACATTTCGACTTTGGAGTTTTAATTTCGACTTCATGTATAATACAGACTGTAGTTGATGATAAGTCAGCTGATTTGTTAACCTGGTCCTGGGAGACAGGAGAAGAAGAAATATTTATTGGAGAACAAGCAGGACCACCCACAAAACCAGATCTTATGAAATTAGCTACAGGTTCCTTCAAGTTGTACTGAGAACTTCAAGATTGTTTAAACATCTGTACTTTACATAGAATGGAAGTTCGAAATATTAACTACAATGATTGTGTTGTATTTGGTATATTAGGATATTTATTTGAAATAAAGATGGTACTGATGTGGAAGGATGGGGTATATGTGTATGAAGAATTTGGATCTCTCACAATTCCATCTAATTATAACCAAATTCATACCATGAAAGCAGAAGTTAAGACTACTAGAATTTATTGTAAGTTTTGTTTATCTTTTATATATATTCTGATTGAGTATATAATTTGATCATTCTTAATTATCATGTTACAGTTAACTGTGAAAGAGGAAGTTACAAAAAAAGAAGTTGTTGAATGTAATAATGATATAGTACAAGTGTTGAAGAGAGAATATAGAGAGATTGTCCAGACAACACCTTCACCGAAAAAAAGCAAAAAAAATAATTAAAAAATGTGTAATTTTTTTATGATATGTATATATATATATATATACAACAAATCAGTATAATAATTTGTATTGTTAATTCTATATGGCAAAGAGAAATGTTTGAAGTTTATTCTAACAATAGCAATACTGTGTTAATTGTTAATTGCTCCTGATATTCTATTTATTTTATTAAAATAATGCAATAAAAATAATAATAATTTTTTTCTTATTAAATAATAACTAGAGTAGCGAGTAACAAGTGGCCAACAATCACCACCACCTTTTTAATATACTGAAAAAAAAACAGATTTTTATTAAAAATAAATAATTTATAAATAGATACAGTAAACTATATAAATAAATGTATATTAATATAATAAATATGCATAATAAAAAAATCTTTTTTTTGGCGAGTCAATAGTTTGACATGTATAGTTGTTATAGCTAGCTAGAATATTTACTTCTCCATTGTTTGAGATATTTTCCGTGAGCTAATTATTTTATTAGTATTAGTATGAATTTAAAATGGTAACAACTATTTTAACAACCATTCTTGGTTTTCAACATAAAATGTAAAATCATATTTATTATTATTGAAAATTTACAGTCGCATAAAAATATTAATATTAATAAATTATAGTTGCATAATTATTTTTATTTTAAATTTTTCTTGCAATTGATCTATAAATTGAACATGTGCATCTACGATCTTTAACACTTTCAAAGGCCTTTTCAAC